TCCCCACAGCTGGGTGGCAAGTTCTTCCTTAAAGGATTTGAGTAGCATATGTCTGTGTCTACCAGAGTCCACCTCTTGCTATGCACAGATCCAGGCCTCCATATACTTTCAGGGACCAGCCCCTCCCTTCCATGGGTCCAGTGGGCCCTTCTTCCTTTTTTTTTTTTTTTTTGAGATGGATTTTTGCTGTGTCACCAAGGCTGGAGCGCAGTGGTACAATCACTGCAACCTCCGTCTCCAAGGCTCAAGCGATCCTTCTGCCTCAGCCTCTGGAGTAGCTGGGACTTCAGGCATGTGCCACCACGCCTAGCTAATATTTTTGTATTTTTGGTAGAGACAGGGTTCATTATACTGCCCAGGCTAGTCTCTAACTCCTGACCTCAAGTGATCTGCCCACTGCGGCCTCCCAAAGTGCTGGGATCATAGGTGTGAGCCACTGAGTTCTGAACTGGAGAGATATGTTAAGTAAAGGGCAAGGAAGAGAGGAAGTGAAGGGAAGAGCATTCCAGGCAGAGGGAACAGCATGAGCAAAGTCCACTTGGTAGGAGAAAGCAGAGCAAGTTGAGGATGTCAAGGAGGCTGCTGTGGCTGGAGCAGGGCGAATGAGGAGGAGGGGAGAGGGGGATTATGTGGATCATGTGGGACCTTGTGAGACTTGATAAAGAGGTAAGGAATGTATATATATATATATATATTTATAATAGGGTCTTGTGCTGGTGCCCAGGCTGGAGTGCAGTGGCAGGATCATAGCTCACTGCAGCCTTGAACTCCTGGACTCAAGTGATCCTCCTGCCTCAGCCTCCCAAGTAGCTGGGACTACTGGCGTGTGCCACCATGCCCAGCTGATTTTTTTCTTTTTATAGAGACGGGAGTCTCCCTATGTTGCCCAGGCTGGTCCCGAACTCTTGAGCTCAAGCAATCCACCCGCCTTGGCCTCTCAAAGTGCTAGAATCATGGTGGCATGAGCCACCATGCCTGGCCAATTCTCTCTTTTTTTTTAATTTTAATTTTTTTTCTTTTGTTTGGGACACAGGGTCTTGCTCTGTCACCTAGGCTGGAGTGAGATGATATGATTATAATGCACTGCAGCCTCAGACTCCTGGGCTCAAGCAATCCTCCTGCCTCAGCCTCCCAAAGCACTGGGATTACAGACTTGAGCCACCACGCCTAGCCTTCTCTCTTTTGTGATTTTTT